GACTGAGCTTTGTGTTCTTGGGGTCTCCTAGGGCATGAGTGACGCAGTGGTCGGGTACTCGATCAGATTCATTGATGTGAACCTATTGAATATTAATAACAAAAGTAAGAATGTATGATTATTTTTAAGCTTCCTAAGTCATGTATATGTCATGTGTGTGTGTTCTATATATCGGCTTTACTTTGACACAGAATTTGTACTTTACAAGAGAAAATTGAAAACTTACTTTATGTAAGACTTTCCTCTCTTCAGTGCGCCCTCTAAATCCTTGAACCATGTGCTATCCCCACCATGTAGTCGTAGTTTTTTGACAATTTCAGATAAATCATCGAAAGCCTTCCCACCATCCGCTGCATAGTAGTCTAGTCCTTGTAATGATTTCCTGACAGATGCAGTGCAAACTAACAATATACGATGAAGTGTTGAGGGACTCATGGGCTTTATGCTACTTTCCTTACAAAWCTGGTTATATTGTTCAATGATTCTTTGTGGAATCATAGTCCTTATTAYATTTGGCGTTTCTAACACCYYGCCATTAGATAGGTGAAGATACCTTTGACCGAAAGGTAGGTCCTGTACCACGTGACTACTTGTTATAAAAGATAAGAAATTGTCCAACTGGTCTTCATCTACTCTCATTCTAGGACTCTTGTTTTCTGGTAGAGGGGAACCGCGCCCGTATCGTTTTAWATGAAGTCTAGCTATTTTGAATCGATATTCAGTTATATCTGGGATGAACTTTTGAAGCTCTTTGAAGGTGACCAAATCAGCCATGATAGCAAGTATTTGTCTCTTTGTATCCCAACTACTAGCATTTTCATACGTTTCCGCTAGTGCTCTAAGATATTTCGTATCTCCAGATTCAGACGTTCCAAGGACTTTATCTACTGCTTTTGAAGACTGTAAGGCCTCCCAAAGTTTATCAGCATCACTTTCTCCGATCACTTGTAATACCGACACGATTGCGTCTGTGGCTCTAGAAATGTAAACACCTCTACTTCTGTCAGTCAAACTAT